AGCACCCAGATGCACCCCGAGATCGCCCCGAGGCACAGCAGCCCCAGCCCACGGACACAAACGCGCTGCTGTGACACCATCCCCAGGAGCAGCACCTGGGGAAAACACGGGTGCCCTCACTTACAGCAAGGTCACTGCTCTCCGGCAAAAAAATGCACACAAAAACAAGCAATCTGGGAACATTTTCTGCGCCGCCTCCGGGAAGGATTGACCTGGCAGCCCAGCAATGGGCTGGGGCGAACTGGGAGCAGCAATTTTCTTTGCACCGCTGGGTGAGGCGCTTCACCTCCCGAATCTCATTTAGCTTTTGGGCTTGCTAACCTGCAGCCTTGCCAGAGGTGAGCTGGGAGGCAGCCCCTGCCATCCAACCAGCTGTCCAAGGGAACTCACAGCACATCCCGCAGCAACACCTGCTCCCCTGGGACCAAGGAGGGTGGGTTGGGCTGTTTTGGGCCAACACCCCAGTGCCCATTTAGCAGAAAAGACACTTGACAGCTATGACAATGGACAGGGATTGGTTGGGTTCTTTATTGGTCCTGAAGGTGCTTATATTTAAAACAATTTGTTAGGCTCCCCATGATTTACTGCCGCACTGGAAAATGGGGCTGAGTATTGATTCTTTGCCTTTTCTATCGCAAATGGGTGTAATGTTTTATAGTATGTCAGAATAATAGCAGCGGGCACTTTATCAATGTCAAATGTTAAAAATGATCAGCTATTGTGATGTAGGAGATTAAATATGAAAGCTTGATGGGTATATAAAAGCAAAATGGCAATAATAAAGGGATTTTTTATGTTCAACTCGTTGCTCTCCCAAATCTACCTGGGGAGCTATTAGAACCAATTGTGCTGATCAGTGACATATCACCATGGGTTAAAGGATGGGAAAGTGCTGGATTTAATTCCCAGGGGATCTTTGTGTTGCTGGCTCATACAGGGGCTGAAAGGTGGGCCTTGCCCTTCCCGGCCAGGACTCTTCAGGGTTTTGTGTTCTCTGATTTGTGCACAAACCCAAGGCTTGGAGCTGGGATATCCATCAGGCATCATGGAACCAAGCAGCTGCTCAGAGCCCTTCTCTCCACAGAGGGGATGAGCCACCAGGAACACAGAGTTCCTCGAGGGGTGAAGGCACAGACATGACAACCTGGATTTGGTGCAGGAGGAGCTTAAGGACTGCGAGGCTGGGTAGGGATTTAGGGCTGCACAGTGCAAATGGACCCCTAAGTGTAATTAGCCCAAACCAGACTGAAAACACCATGCTTCTCATTGTTCCCACACTTCTGTAACCCAGACAAGCAAATTAATTGCAGAGTCACCTAATGCACTGATGGGATGAGCTGCAGTAACTAATGCCAGGCACCTGGAGATGACAGGACCAGCAGCAGGATGCAGCTCCCACTAAAAGCTCTTGGCAAGACGTGAGCTACACCTACAAGGAATTATTTAAACTCAGTAAGTGAGGACCTTTCCATGAGGACATCTTTGAGACTAAGTAGTCCTTAAATTTTTAACATCTCAAGCACAAGCATCTGTGCATTTGCTCTGCACCGAGCACAGCCTGAGGAGTGGAGCTGGTTTCAGCTGGCTGTTACAGCAGCTGTGGCACAGCCTGTGGAGCACAGAGAGGCACAAGAAGCTGTTTCAAGAGCAGAGAAGAGCTCCCTGCAGCACGAGTGCAAGGTGGAAACCTCAAGAGGAACCTGGACTTGGTGAGCAGGGAAGAGCCTCACCTCCATGATCGATGCTGTGCTCACCTCTGGGCTTCCTCACTGCCCTGTGGTCTCATCCAGAAGAACTGCTGCAGGTCTGCCAGGAGCTTCCTCTCTGCGGCCCTGTTAGATAACACTGCTAAAAATAATCCTTCCTCGCTGCTCCTGCAGCACTCAGACCTCCCTCTCGGCACTCAGAGCCCCGGTGCCCCCAGCACCAGACCTTTCATAGCCTCGTCAGGGCCCAATCCCTGCCAGCCTGCTCATGGCAAATCCTGCACATGGCAAATACCTGGGCTCCTTCAGCAGCCAGGGCTGCCCTCAACTCCTTGACACCATGGAAGGGATGTTGGGCTGTGCCATGGAAGGGATGTTGGGCTGTGCCATGGCCCATCACCACCGTGGCAGCTGTCAGTAGCAGTGCAGGGTGGGGGGCCAGGGGGACTCAAAGCTGGCGCCTGGCACAGTGACAGGTCTGTGGGCTGGCAGCAAAGCTCAGCTCCTGCGCCTGGGCCCAGGAGCAGCGCCAGGAAGACGCGTCGCTGGCACTGCCACGTTTGCAGCAGACAGAGCTGCTCCCCGAGCACATCCTGCCCGGCACCCGCAGGGAATCAGCTGCTGTGGCTGCTTGTGATCCGTCCCCCGAGAGCCAGCACGCTCCTGCTCCCCACGTCAGAAAAAACAGCCAGAGAGAGGAGGGAAAAATTCCAGAACTTGATCAGTAGAGGCAACTCCCACTAGAATCATTAATGGTCTCACCGATACTTTATTACAAAGAAAGCACACACACACACACACACACACACACACACACAAAAAGCCCAATAATTCCCAAAGCCTGGACTCCAATTAAATTTTTTTGAGTTGTCATAAGCAAGAAGAAAAAAAAAAAACTGCACAGGCAGGACAAATGTTCTCCTAATTACCTAAACACTTTATTAACCAGCGCTAATTAAAGCATTTCTTGGAGTCTGACAAATGTCTGGAATTACTCAATTTAGAAGTTAGTTTTGTCTCCAGTAATTTATACAGCGATGGAAAGTTGGGGGGGGGGGAATATCTTTCAACTAATGTTTTTTTATTAAAGCTGACAGCAATAATTAGTTATTTGCTACTAATGGGGTAGCCCCTGGAGGGAAATTTGCTGAGATGGATGGTTTGGGCTCATGCCAGCAGTAATTGGTCTGAGCCTTGGTCAGGAGCTGGCAGGTCGTCCCGAATGCAGCCGCTCCGCTGGCATCCCGCTCCAATCCCTGCCTTTGGTCTCTGCCTCCCATTCCTGCCTCTGGTCCCTGCCTCCCATTCCTGCCTCTGGTCCCTGCCTCCCATTCCTGCCTCCAGGCATCCCGGCAGCTCCGTGCTGGGAAAGGGCCCCTGGGCTCAGCCAGGACCAGGCACCCTCTGGAGATGCTGCTGCTGAAGCCCAAGTCTGGCAGGAATGGCAGTAATTTGTGCACAGCAAATGAGGCTGGAAGTCAGGAATTGCAGCTGTGGGTTTGAAGGGAGCTTCCATTTTGCCAGGAATAAGGGTTTTGTGTTGTGCCACCCTGGCAGGCAGTTCCTGCTGGAACCACTTGCTCTGAGTAGAAGGGATCCACATTAAAAACTTCATTTGTTTTCTTCCAGAGAATACTTGGTTGTCTTTTTCAGGGGCCAGTGGGAAAAGTGTTGGACCTGGAAGTAAAGCTGTACTCCGATAATGGGATGACAGAAAGAAAAAGAGAAAAAAGAGAAGAAGAGGAGAAGAGAAAGAGAAAGAGGTAAGGTTTAACACTGAGCATTTACCATGGGCTTTTACCTCACTGTTTCTCATCTCTGGAGTCAACCAACTACAGCTCTTCTTAAAAGTAGGTTTCTAGCTTGCACAGACACAGAAAAAGCCCTGATCACGGGAAACTAATGAGCTCTGCAGGTTCAGAAATCAGAATGCAAAGAAAGAGGATCCAGATTTTCTTTTCATCTCCTTTTTTCTGAGCTTGACATATAATTTTGGATGCTCATGTTGTCAATACCTTTTGTTTCTCATCTTTCCTATAAACTGCAAATGATCCAATTATAGAGTAAAAGGAACAGAAAAGGGGGAAAGCAAGAGGAATAGAATAATCTGTGAGGGACAGAAAGTAGCTGAGATGAAAAGCTAATGAAATGACAAATTCAAAACAGAATGGACAAATTAAAGGGTGCTTGGAGTCAGACAGGGAGGGGTGGGCAAGCCAAGGGGGAAGCTAAGGATTCAGGTCTGCCCCTTGGCCTACTGCATCTCTGCCTGGTCCAGACTCCTTCCCTCTGGCTGACACCAGCCCCTGCTGGGTTCCATCACACAAAAGGGGGCTGCCCTGACACCCCCCATGGAACAGCTCTGGCCACGCCGGCTCCACGCTCCAGGGATCCTGTTCTGTGGAGTCAAACATATTTGCCATGTTGTACAACCACCCCATGTGCAGCCAGGAAGACTCTCTGCAGCCTGACATGGAAAGATCAATTTTCCTTCTCTTTTTTTTTTTCTCTCTCTCTCTCTCAAGAGGAGAAACATGTCACAGGCTGAGAAAGGCGCTTAAACTGCGCCGGTGGAGAGGTTAAGTGGGAAGCCTTGACGGGTGCACTAACGCTGTGCTGTTCAGGCTGCAGGACTGACACTAAAAGCCCTGGTTAAAGACAGGGCTCAGTGTCGGAGCAGTGTAATGAGGTGTTTTGCATCACCCGACCTTGTCGGAGCGATCCCGGCTTCCCGAATGTTTCAGGCTGGGCCTTTGCTCCCACAACTGGCCGTGCTGGCAGCCCCAGCACCCCGAGCACCCTTCCCTGTGTGGGCAGCCCAGCTGTGCCCGCACGATGGGGGTCTCGTCTCGCAAAGTCCCTCCACAGCCCAAAACCTCTCGTCCCAGAGCTGAGCTCCGAACAACCAGCACGGACCCAAAGGGTGCCATCCCAACCCATGGCATTCCCTGGAAAGGTCCCACCTCCCCTTCCTCTCCTTGCCCATTCACTCCCAGTCTTCCCAAAATGAAGCAGCCTGGCACACAGGCTGTGGATAAACGGATCTACGGGCGATGGCGATTTCATCCCACAGATTCCCATGGAATGGCACAGCAGGAATGCCGTGCTCCTTGAGTTGGGTACAGATTGCTGCATTCCAAGCCAGGAAAGCCTCAGGGTTCCCATTTCTCTCCCTCCTTGGAAGCTGTACACGGTGGCCCCGGAGTGGGCAGCTGGGGGAAGAGCAGAGCCCATGTGAGTGAGCCCTGGGCAAACCCCTGGCGAGCCCCACGGGATGTTCTCCAGGCTGTATCCTCAGGCATCCCGGCATCCCCAGGGGGGAACAACACGCTGCAGCTCCCCACAGGGTCCCTCGTGCTGCAGAGCCCTGGAGACACCAAAATAGGCAACTTAGGAGTGAAAAAAACCACCTTATTTTACAGCTTTTAAGGGAATATTGTGAAGAATGGAAAGGGGTTTTGATCTTTCTTTTTTACCCAAACTCAAAAAAAAAAAAAAGCTTTTAAAATAAATAGCTGACAATGTCTCTTATTTGAGTAATTCTTTGCCAGCAATAAATGTGTCACTCTAAAGTGCTTTATTTAGAAATAAAAAAATGTTTTTCTTTGTAGAGTGCTCCACGTTACAGCAAGTTCCAGGCTGGGAGCGAAATCCTCCTCCTCTCGCCACATCCCCCTCCCTGCATGATACATTCATATATTCTCCTATAATCTGATCTAGGTTATAAAAATATTAAAAAAAAAAAGAAAAGAGAAAAAATAGAGAGACATCTGGCTCTCCCACACATCTGACATTTCCCTTTATGCCTGGTTTAACTTTTTTATGACTGCCTGGGTTCGCTTCATTGGAGAATTTCTCCCTTCAAATGAGTTTCCTGTTTTATGCTGAAATTTTCCTTTAGACAAACCTGGTAATTTTTCAAGTTAAAATGTGTATGTTTTAAGCACTTGGGAAGCTTAAGGATCCGACTGACGGGGACATAAATCCCAGTTTATTCACACTGGAGTCCCTGTGTCTAACTGATCCTTTAAGGGAAAAAAAAAAAAAAGAGGCAAGAATGAGCCTGGCATATTTTTCACTTGTTTTACAGTAGGAAAAAAAAAGCCTCAAACTGTCAATCTGGTGAGTAATTTATTAGTATCTGCTCACACTTCCAAGCCTTTATGTGCTAATGCCAGGGAAGGCAGCACTTCCTCGAGCACTTACTTTTTCAACAGGAGATGAGGAGGGGGCTGATGGGGCCTCCCTGCTCTGGAGCAGCTTCTCAGGGCAAGGGACGAGGATGCCTGAAGGGTTCCAGCTCTGCCCAGCGGGTACCAATCCCCCTCATCCTCCCTTCTGCTCCCTGCTGATGCCGAGCTCCTGGAATGCAAGATCCTGTGCTGAACACAGGCAGGACCAGCCCTGTGGATTGGCAACAAGGAGGAAGAAAAAGATACAATCAAAAAAAAGCAGGGACATAAATGACCAAAATGATTTCTGAGCAGAGTCTGGAAGGAAAGCCCCCGCCGTGCCTCACGGGGGTGTCGAACAGCGTTTGCAGATGCCCAGGCCCGCGATGGAGGGCAGGGCTCTGGCACAGACGGTGACACCACCAGGGACCCTGTGCTGTGCCTGCAGCAGCGCTCGCGGCCGCGCATGAGAATCGCTCATCTGCATCGCCGCTGAGCGCAGAGAGGGCTGCGGGGATGGGGCTGCTTTTACCAAGGCAGCGTCCCCAGAATAAAACCTTGGAAGCCACATAAAGCTAATTTATGAAAGGTGTGGAAGAAAGGCAGAGAAGCAAAACTTCAGGGGAGAGCAAGAGGCCAGTTTGGAGAGATCTCCTCCTCCTCCTCCTCCTCCCCTGAGCCTTGATCACCATCCCTGTACCACCCCTGCTCTCTGGCCACCACACCAGGACCTGAGCACCCTCCTTCCTCTGCATCACCCAAGACAGACACCAGCATTTTCCCCCTCTCCTTCCTGTGGCTGGAGATGGCAGGCATCCCCATGGCTGGTGGCTGGTGAGCTGCCTGCCCTCCTGTCAGAGGAAAAATCACTCTCCCCTACCCTCCAGCCAATTCCGCAGGTGGTTCTGGGGGAAAAGCAGCTGGGGACAGGCTCTGTGTGACAAATGCTCTTCCATCTCCATCCCAGTTTGTCCTCTGGTGGAGGAGGGGGCTGTATGTCTCCCCAGGATCAGGGCAAAGCCACCAGGACACCAGGGGCTCCTGTGTCCCCCTGCAAAGGAGACAGAGGCCGAGGGCCAGGGGGACTCAATTCCGGCAGAGGCTCAGCTTTGGGGTTTCATCCAAATGCCTAATTAAATTTTCAGAGTGCTAACTGCTCGGGATCCAACACAAATAGCTGCACAAGCCAGAGGCAGGGCAGAGAAAGGATGGAGAGGAGGGGAAAGGATGGAGAAACCTAAAACAAATAAATTAATTAAACAAATAAATAGGGAGAGGAATAACACGGGGAAAATAAACTAAAAGCAGCGGCAGCCCTGGCCACCGGAGCACTCATTAGCAGCGGGAGAGGAGGGAAGTGTCTCGCTGTCTGGGGCTGTCATCCTTCATCCTGACGAGCACTTAGGGAGTCACGACCCCTTTCAGCATCGCCATACAGGCAATCAGCCCCTCGCATCGGTCACTGCCGCCACATCCCCGCCCTGTTCCAGGCACGCGCGGAAAGAGGGATATTATATCCCCGGGAAGCAGGGATGGGGGAGGCTGCCCACGCCGCCCCCTCTGCCTGCAGCTCACCCCCCAAGGTGGGCAGGGAAGAGGCAGCAGCAAAGGCAGGAGCTGCCGAGCCTCAGCCCCACCTGATGCCCGCAGCCCTCGGGCTGCCCCCCGGCCCCCTCGCCCTGGGAGAGGCCCAGGGAGCAGCACATCCATTTTGCACATGAACTGTCCCTGGGAGGCAGAGCTGTCAGCAAACACTGATTTCAACTGGGTTTAAAAGGAAAAAATCCGGTGTCATCTGCCAAGAAGGAGCCCGGGAGCGTTTGTGGCAAGGCCAGGGGCCGGAGGGATGGCTGTGACCCCCGGGCAGTGCGGAAGGAGGATCCCAGGCTGGCATCAGAGCCAGGCAGAGCTGCTCCTGGGGCACAGCTCCTCTGCCCAGCTCCCCCTGAGCACTGGGATAACCTGGAGCGTGGTCAGTGCCGAGAGAGGCTGAGCTGGAGCTCGGAGGTGCTGCCTCTGCCCGGTGCTGACAACAGCGGATCGCTGCCCGGATAACGGGAGCAGTGTCAGCGTTCCCTCTCCACGCAGCCACAGCTCCAAACATACCGAGACACCTCTGGATTTCCTCTGCAAACATTGCTTGTTCTGCCGGACTGTTTGCTCCTCGTCAACACAGGGGAAATTTGTCCGGGTGCTTCAACACCTCGAGAGCAAACAGTGTGTGGTTATTTAAGCAAAAAAAGCAAACACTTCTTCCACTGAAATGTGAAGTTAAAAAAGACAAGGGGAGAAAGGGACGTGCCTGTATGCTGTAGGAGGATGCAGAGCATCAGGACCGCCCTGGCAGGGCTGGGACAGTCAGCTCCATGCCAGGGGAGCTGGGGCACCGGGCAGCACACAGGGTCCTGCGTGGCTTTGCCACAGTCATTGGGCTCATGCACCTTCTTGGGGAGCCCCTGCTCATGCCCATGCCCTGCACAGAGTGTCACAGCCTGCCAGCAGGGCCATGCCAAGGAACCTTAGGTTTGGAGCCACTGCCACTCCAGCTCAGGCCTTTAATTTTTATTTATTTCTTTCTCTATTTTCATTTAACTGAACCTGAACCTCTGTTCCAGTTTCCCTGATTCCATAAAGGGATATCAGTTACACTGTGAGTCCAATTTATTCTTTTCTACATATTCATTAAATCCCACGTTGTTACTGCACTATTTAATGGAATTGATGGTGTAATTAAGCTACAGGCAGACATTAACCAGCAGAACTGTCAGGGAGGTTTAGGATCCTTTACTGCTCTGCTCCTGGTGTTATATGGCTCCTAACTTCATAACACTGACTCCAGCCAGTTGGTTCAAACCACGCACTTCCCACCTGGTGAATGCCCAGAGCCCCAGTCCAGAGCAGCCCCAGTGGACTCGGGGCAATGCCCTTGGCCTCAGCTTGTTCTCACAAACATCAGCTCCAAAGACATGAGCACTCCCACCCATGTGTGTGTGTGCCTGACCTGATTTTCACTCATATTCAGGTAAGTGCATCCAGTTTGAGGTGGCTCACAGCCCTGCCCAACCACTCTGTCCTGTGCCAAAATCCTCTCCCCCACAATCAAACCTGCTCTGCTCCCTGCCCTCCTCATCCCCTGGCAGAGGGAAGCACAAACCACAGACATCGTCTGGAGCAAAGGCAGCACCCAGGCATTCAAATCCTCCCTGGCACTGGGGTGCCTCCCTCCTCCTGGCCTTGAGCACCACCCCGTGCTCCCCGACACCTTTGGCTCCCGCCACACCTGGTGCAAACACCCCAGCAGATAAATACTTGCCCACTGGAGCTTGCCTATACGAGGAGGACAGAAATCAGGCTTTGCCAGCCAAGGAGGAAATGTCCAGCTCTGGGGGAGGCTGGAGCAGAGGGAGGCTGGTGGGCAGCACCCACACTCCACAGGGGCAGCCACAGCTCTTCCCTGCCCGAGGCTGAGCCTCCCAGAGGCTTTGCAGGCTGGAGGGGAGGCTGTAATAATAATGCCATTGCGTTCAGAGATTGCTTCCCAGCGCCTTATCTGCCCGGAGATATCAGCATCTGATCACACCGTAATTACCAGGCCAGATTTGCACTAATTGGCTCTCTGGAGTAAAGTTACCTCCGATCTGCCTGTCCTGGGTGCTCAGCAGGCGGCGATTTACAGCCCAACAGGTTCGGTGGGATGATCTAACAGGGATTAGATGCAGCCACCAGCCAGGGAGCCAGGGACCCTTGCCAGACACACGTCTGCAAGCTTTAGGGAAAAATCACGGCTTTTTAGGGAAAAACCATGGCTGTGAGCTCTGCCACCATCTGTGCACAGCCTGGGTACCCCCTCAGCTCCCAGTCTGTTAATGGTTTGGCTTTGGGTGCTGTCTGGTTTGCATAATGGGATGAAATAATAAAGTGGTGGCTTTTAAGAGGAGATGGATCCAAAGCAGGGGTGGGTGTGCTTGCCTGCAGGACAAGGAGAGCTGGAGGGGATCTTGGGGAGCATAACCCTGTACCCCAGCACCAAGACAGCCCTGGGAAAAGGTTCTCCAAGAGAAACACTACTCCCACAGTGTGCCTGGAGTGACCAAATGCCATCTTTCCATGCCTTTTTTTCTTTGTTTTTGTTTCGGTAATACCATATGTTTTGGAAGGCACCAAAGGCACCCCAAAATGAAACCCACCCTTTAAACATGGGAAATTACTATTCTATTTTACTGCAGTTTCAGCTAAAAAATGGAGACTAAGGAAAATCATGCAGAGAAGCTAAGTTGGGGATTCTTTTTTTTTTTTTTTTAAATCAGTTTTCTTTACTGAAATGAAAACACCTCAGAAAAAAATCTCCAAATCATCACCTGGGTGATGGGAGTTGGTAACACGGAGAGGGGGCCCTTCCCTGGGGCAGGATTTTTAATAACTTCCTCACCACGGGAGGCTGTTAGAGAATCTCAGCTGGAAGATTTTTTTCACCCAGCTGGATCTTGCAGTCTTCTTACATCATTAACTCACCGAGATAATTTCTGAAGAGGGGTTTGTTTGGAGCTGGTTTGATTTCCTTCCTGACAAACCTTCCAGGTAAATCTCAGTGCTTTTTTGTTTTCCAAGGGAGAATAAAGTCTCTGATGTGACAATCACTGTGTCCTGCTGGACCAGCACTCTTGTCCCAGGGTAAGGGAATGCAGATGACGAGTTGTGTGGCTCCTCTGCAGCAGCAAGGGCTGTGCCTGACGGCTCCTGGTCGCTCTGCTGAGCGCTGTGCCCGCAATGCCGGAGCGTGGTCCCGGTGGGATGTGATGCCAGACAGGGCACAGCAACGCTGGGGCAGCAGCAGTGGCTCAGAGCCTCCCCCACCCCCGTGCCGTGCCCTGCTCCTCAGCTCACGCTTCAATTGGCAGGTTTGGGGCTGAGAAGAAATGTTTCTTTCACAGCACATTACCAGCAATCACAGTCTTTCTCTGTCCTTTATATCTAAAGAAATCCTTGCTATTGCCAGGGCCAGAGGTCAACCCTTTCCTTTCTGCTGCTCTCTCTGCCACACGTCTGCTCTGCTTCTCCTTTTCCATTGCTCGGGAGTTTGTAACAGATTGGGGTTTTTTTCTTACCTTCAGCTGAGCATTTGGGTTTCGATGATTTTTTTTCTTAATATTTCCTTTCAAGAACCCTGCAAACAAGACTCCAGATTTTGGGACTGTTTGGGTGCCCATCCATCTCCTGAACAGTGTGACTCTGGTCAGCTCCTGGTCTAGCAGGAGGACCACCAGGTCATATTTTAAGTCCTCAGCAAATTGTTAGTGGAAAATGACCCTACAGCCATGAGTTTCCCAACTCAGTAATCCAACTGCTGCTCTTGCATTGCTTTTGTATGAGTTGCCTTTTAATTCTATCAAGTGCTCACTTGGTCTCGCTGCACAGGGAAGGATAAATATTGCTCCTACTCCAGGAAACAGAGTGGCTTTGACTGAGAAAATACACCTTGGGGAAAAATTGGTCTGGCCTGGCTGTTATGGATGACACAGGTGGAGAGGGAAGGGGAGCATCTCTGTTGAGGGCTCTGCGCCCTGGCTTCTCCCCATGACTCATCCCCGGCTCAGAGGGATGACTTCGGAGTGACAGGGGAACTCAGTTTCCATCAGACCCCAATCGTTTGTCACTCTGCAAGGAGTGGTGACAAGGAGGACAATTAGTGCGAGCGGGAGGTGATGTTTATGATGTGGAGCCTTGTCCATTAGCCAAGTGTTTACCAGTTGGGTGTTTGCCCATCCCTGAAGGGCAATGAGGGAGTTGGTGGGGTCAGCGAAAGGCCTCGCCATCCTTCTCCAGAGACTCAGCTTTCATTAAAAAGATCATAAAAATAAAATAATAAAGCAGTTATCTGCTGTCACTTGTGGCAAAGCCATCCTGAGCAGCAGAGGTAGCTGATGCCACCTGTGTTTGCAGAGAGCCTGGACCAGCATTTAGCAAGCAAGGAGAGCCACAGCCCAGAGTGGGTAGGGGATGCCCCATGTTCGTGGGTGGGGGGTTCAGTGCATCGCTGTTCTATGGATTCTGCAGCTGTGGATACCAAAGAGCCATCAGACTGTCACTGCTTTTAATCCTCGGTCAGCACAGGGCACAGGAAAGGTTTAATTTCTTTAAGTGTAACCTCTTTAAGAGGCACATCCTTCCTCCCCAGGCAGCCTTGAGCCACCTCTCCCCAGAGATCCACCGCTGGGCTTTGCCACTTTGTTCAGTTCTTCCCTTCAAGGGGCAGGGGAGTTTCCCACATTTGGCATATGCTGTCATCCTGCTCAGCCTGCATTTCCCAGTGAGGCCGAGGCAGAGACCTGGGCTTCCCAGGGACGTGTCCCATTTTCTGCTTTCTGCTCTGGCAGAGCTCGGGAGCCCACGGAGAGGGACGCGCTGCGCCGTTCCCTGCCCAGAGCGCTGCTCCATCAGCCTCACCACGGGCTCCTGGTTGTTTTTGCTGTACCTGTGGGTGGATGTGGGAGTCTTTGATCATCCGGGATTACTGCAGCATTATGAGCTTTCAAACAGCAGCGAATGCTCTGGATACAAAAGTGGGTCATGTACGGTGCTGTGCCGGAGATGCTTTGATGCACAGGGAAAGGGGGGAGGCCGGCATGGAGGATGGAAGGATGGACTGGGGTACGGTTTGCACGGTGCAGGTTCAACTTCAGTTCAAATCTGGGAGTTTTGCTGGGTGTGCTGGCAGGGCTGCCTGGGGACAAAAAGGCTGTCTGTGGAAATGGAGGATTGCCTGTTTCCAGAGATAAGGAGGAAATGTGGGAGATGGAGGCATGAACAGGCTTCCCTGTGCCCAGCACTGAGCTTCCTCCTCTCGCTGGCCCCGGAGCGGTGCACCCAGCCACAGCCCCATCCCGCATTCCCTCAGATGTGTTCTGCTGCTAATGAAATAATGTAAGAGACATCATTCCCTGCCACCTCCAGTCACACCCCCCCATGCCGGAGCCTGCCACCATCCCCTCTTCACGAGGGTAACAAACCTCTGCTAAAAAGAAAGGCCATTAATAATAATTACCACAAAGAAGAAAAAAAATAAACCTCTCTCTTTCTCTCTCTTTTTTAATGAGCCCTAAAAAAATAAGTTTCTTAATTGAAAAGCTTTCTACTTTGGAGTCAGCTCCAGGACTTCAGAGCAGCCCAGGCAGAGCTGGCAAGCAAAGATGAAACAGAGGAGTGGGTCAGACAGTGCCTTATGGGGGCTGAGAGACAGACCTCAAAGCCAGGGGCACATGGACACCATCACTGACATTCAAGGAACTATCAACAAGGCACTAATTGGATTGAAAGGAGGTGGCAGATGGAAAGAACCAAAGCAGGAAAACAGCTTTGGAGCAAACATCATTAGAAAGAGAAGTTTAGGCAAGGAAGAGGAGCCAGTCCTGAGCACAGGAGCCATCTGAGGGAAGCTCTTGGAGACCCCCCAGTACTCCCTGTGCCCACGGGGAGGACCAGCAGGCTGGGGCTTCTCCTGCCTCTGCCACAGGCTGTGGGGGCTCAGCAGGATGATCTACTCACTGGAGCAGAGGAGAAGCTGGCACGTGTCGTGGGAGGATGCAAGTGGCTCTGTGAGCAGGACCTGTTCCCTCAGGGTCTTATGCAGAGGCTGTAATTCAGTTCTGAGCAAAACTCATCGAGGGCAGGGAGTAATCTCCTCTCATCTGAAAGGGGCCAGAGGATTTATGAACCCACCTGTCTAGTGGTGAAGTGCCCTCTTGGTAAATGCTTTGCTAAGCGTTCGTTCATCTTCCTCCCTGGCAGTGGCAGTGCAAGGACAGGCAGCACCGAGCAGGGCTGGGAGGAGGGGACAGCAGGGACATTAGCTTGGCCTGATGATCACTCTCCATTCAGGACTGGGTACTGACCCACAGGGTGACAAGAGGCTCCAGGAGAATTAATTTAAACCATTGCTGTGGTGCAGGAAGGCTGAAAGCCACGAGCCCCCTGCACCAGATCAGTACAGCTGGCACCAGATCATTTCCCATTTCCATTTCTTAACTACTAAGCTAAAGCTTTATCAGCTGGCAAGACAGGCCCCACTGCTGGAGCATCCATCGCTCTGATCTGAACAGGTCACTGAGAACGGCCACGTAACCCCCGAGTGATGAGGGCTCATTTCCCCACCGCACACGTGCCCGTGCGGGGTGGCTGCTCTTCCTGTGGCGCTCACTGCCTGGCAGCTGCCCAGCCCCGGGCAGAAAATGCTTCCACTGAGGCTTGATCGATCACCTCTCACATTTGGCTACTCACTCGCTGGATTAATGAGCTGTGGGATCCAGGATGTGCCAACGTGCTCTTCCTGCTGGCATCGATGTGGCCTCTCCCCCCGCGGCTCACCCAGAGACAAGGCTACAGCCCTGAGTGCCCACAGTGTCAGCACCCACGGCAGCCCATCCTGCTCCCTGTGCATCGTGCTGGGGAGCTGGGAACGGCTGGAACCACTCAGGACATCTCCAGAAAGCCCAATATTTAGAAGATAGGGAGAGCCAGTGTGGGCTCAGCACCCGGATGTTTTGGTGCTCCTCTCCCACCCCTTTCCATATTTTTAAGTTTTGTGCCCTTGCTCCATAGAGCCTAATTCTGGCATAGCCCACAGAGAATTACCAGAAGCCTGAAGTACATTATTTTTGTGCAGGCTAGTATTTTTCTCAGCAGACACCCCAGCTTGGCCAATGTGCCCCTGCTGCACTGGCCCTGAAAGTGGCTCCACAAACTAGACATTAACATCATTGGGATAAATGATGTAAGGAAGAAAAGGGATACAACAGCTACCATCAGGCTCTACCTCCCAAATTGGCTCAGAGAAATTAGCAGGAAGGAAGGAAGGATCAGACAAAATGATAAACCCGCTTACCTGCTCATTAATTTAATCTCTTCTTTTTTTCCTCCCCTCTCCCAGCCTTGTGGTTTCTGTAACTGTAGGGAACTAGAGAACAGCAAAGTCCTAGATGAAAGGGAGACGACGTCTGGAAGCACAAAGATTAAAGGAGAGTTTTTAGGATTAGCCTTTGATTATTATTATTTTTTTGTTGTGTCTTGGGTTTGTGGTGATTATTCCTGCTCCTCTCTGAGCAATCCTTCTGGGTGCATCTGAGGGAGCTCATGGGCTCTCCAGCAAGTTCCAGGCATTTTTCCAAGGACACCAAGCAATAAATGTGCAGTAGCCCCTTCTCCCCTTCCCCAGCTGCAGATGGAAGTGTTCCCCTGGGGCAGCTGATTGAGTGCTGGGAGTTTGCAGGCTGTTTGTGAGCAGGGACGGCAAAGCTGCTTCTAAATCACTCAGGCTTGGATTTATGAAGCAGGGCCTGGCTGGGGATGGCAGGAGAGCCTGGTCCAGCCAGGGAGCAGCCCTGGAGCAGGAGGGCTCCTTCCTCCAGCCAGGGGGGAGCAGGAGGGGGGTGCAGGGCTGGCTGGGGATCAGGGGCTCCTCCTGGCAGTGCTCCTTACCTGCTCCATTGGTGCAGCCTCCAGTGGAAAGGTCCAGCCCAGCACTAGAGGAACAGATCCCAGCTGTGCTCACCTAGAGGAGAACAAGGAGAGGCTGCCTTAGACAACTCCTGCAAGGAATGTGCACCATGGCCATGCATCGATGTATGGACTTCATTTGGAACAGCTTTTTCCTGCTGAATCAGGCTTTTGAGTCCTGTCTGGAAACCAGGCTGAGCCCCAAAAGGAGGACTCAGGTTCTGGAGATGAAGAACCAAAGCAAACTGTGAGGTGCAAGTGGCAGTGGGCACTGTGTCCCAGCAGGGCACAGGCAGCGTGGGCAGGAGAGACTCCCACCCACCTGTGCAGACCCACAGTGACCAGGCAAAGCCAAGCATCACCAATTAACCAGCTTTTGTTTAGCCAACACGCCTGGAGCGTTTCCAAAACCAGCATCAAAACAAACAAACAGAGCAGCAAACCCGGGTGAATTTCTGTCCTGAAAAAACCAAGCCATTTTCTTGCTAAGAAAAACAACCGAAGGCCAGTGCTGGGAGCCAGCTGAGGCAGGGCAGCTCAGCACAGCCCGGCACAGCTCCTGCTCCCTCCTCAGCCCCTGCTCTCTCATGCAGGCAGAGCCGTGGCACCGGATCGATGAAGCACCGAGACGGAGAGGAGGCTGCACGGGCTCACAATGTGATTTATGGTCTCGCAGCCGGGCTGGAGCGCTGCGGTCGGGCTCTGACGGAGCCGGTGCAGTGAGCAGCCTCCAATTAGGTGACCCCCCAGGTCTCCCTATTGATTGGGGTGGTAGGTGCACTTTTCTCATTATGCCCTTGGCAGCAGCACCGGCTGGGCCGTGGCAGGAGGCCCTGGCAGAGGAGCAGCTCTGGGGTGCAGCTCAGGGGGTTGGCACCTCTGCCTTCTATGACAAGTCCCCCGCTTCAGGCCTGGGAGTAAAGAGTTCATTTCTCAAGCGATGCTGCCTCCTCCTCACTCATCAGACAAAGGAGGGGGAAGAGCCCGACAAGACAGAGTTCCTAAATTAATCAGCACAGCTTCCTAACGAATGCCCTTTATGTTTTACATAATAATATAAAGCTTTTTTCGGAGACAACAGCCTCCTACATCAAAGATTCCTCTTTCCCACTCTGAACTTTTGAGCCCTTCTCCTCACAATTAATGCAGAAAGATCTAAATAAAGTTGGAGAACAGCTCGAGATCGTATCTGGAACGAGGCAGCGGGCCTGGCCCTGCTCAGCGGGCACCAGCACATCACTGGCTGTTCCTGTCTGCAGGAACCTGCTCTGCCTTTCTTGGCTGCATGTGCACATGGAGAGAGGTGGAATTGCTGGAGCAGCCACGGCGACTGGGGGTTGTGGTGCTCTGTGTCTCTGAGCTGGCATCACTGCCTGAGAGGTGGCTCAGAGGAGGAGATTTAATTTAATTCTGCAACCTCCAAGCCTGTGCCTGGATGCTATGTACTGTGTTGTGCAAACACAGCGGGACAGGCTCTAGTGCCCATATTTACCCTGCTCCCTGGTCAGCCTGGAATGCTTTGGGAGCTTAATGCAGGATAATGCCTGAGGGCTGATGACCAAGGGCATCTGCACCAGCCCTGCCAGCCCTTCGTTAGCTGATGTAGCTACAAAGCTTTGCCCTAAAGTTTGACATTTCCCTTCAGAGGAGCATGTGCAGGACTCACAGAGGGCTGATACAGCGACAGCAACAGCCCAGGAGCAAGATCCCTGTGGTTTAGTCAGTACAGTGCTGATAGGTCACAGGTTGGATTTGATGATTTTGGAGCTCTTTTACAACCTTAATGATCCTGTGATTCTACAACATCTCCAGCCGAGATATTGCAGAATGAAGACTCCCACTCCTTCCCCTTCATCCTCCTCCTCCTCACATGGCATCCTTTGGGAGAGCCTGGCCAGCCCCAGCACATGGGAACCGTGGGTGTGCTGAGCTCCTGAGTCCACTCTGCCCCATGCCGGGATCTCTCTGCCCTGTTCCGGCTGGATGAGCTCTGCCACTGCTATTCTCGGCTCTCTGCAAAATGCTAATTGCTGCGCTTGACCTCCCCGGGATAATGAGGGGAAACCTCCCCTAATTAGCACTGCAGTCTGTGGGTGAGAGAAACCAAATGTTGACTGTAGAGCGGCTGCACTTACTGTAAATTCCAACATATGCTGTGGAAAAACGCCGCCCAAATAAGGCTTCGGAAGCACGGGGTGTTTAAATAATAATGAATACTCACTGCTGTTTATTACAGAACAGAACGGAATCAAGGCAAAGCTGTGGTGGCGTGTCCTCCTCCCTGCCAGGACGCATGCGAAGGGCCGGCAGTGGAGATGTGGGAATCCCCGGGACACAGGCAGGCTGCAGCAGGAATTCCAGGTGTGTGCACAGGATTTACAGGCATTAGCAATAAGACCTGCGGTGTCCCTAGAGGGGACCCTGCGGGACAGCTGCAGTGAGGGCTTGCAGCTGGTGAGACGTTCTCCAGCACTCAGAGGTTTCTGCTGGTCACTTGCGGTAGTCCAAAGCATATAAAATATTTATTTGCTCCTAATTAGGTGTAATTACCACTTAACCTGGAGGAGGGATGTACCCAGCGTGCCCGGCAGCTCGATACACTCACAGCTGAACAGCCTCTGCTGCAGATAATTAAAAGAGAAGGGCTCCTGCCTGCCTTGGCCTCGTGCAGCCGAGTGTTTGCTGAACCCCGCGTGCCCGAGCTCATCCCAGGGCTGCCGGCTCCACTCAGCGGAGCCCGAAAGCCGAGCCGGCCTCATTTCACTTGCAATTTCAGTGTGATTATTCCCTCTTCTTCTCAGTAATTCAGCTCCAGCTCAAGCTGTCCTTCCCTCACCCGTTTCCTGCCTCCAAGCAGACCTGCCCACCCGGCTCTGTCCCTCGCGAGAGGGCTCACGGCTGCTCCTCGCTCACTCCTGGCCACGGCCTCATCCCTCTGCTGCTCCTCAGAGAGCTGGGAGGGTGAGAACAAGTTGTTAATAAGATGCCCAATTAACATTTCTTCGATCAGAGTTATGTCAGGAAAAAGAAACAGGTTCATTCACATGGTTATTGCTTCCCTGCTCTCACTCTGTCCTGCACAGAGTTACCAAGGACAGTTTCTCCTGTCCATACCAAGCTTTGCCCGAGCCCCAGCTCCAAAGGGACAAGAGGATCACCCACTAATGCTCCCTCTTCTGTCCCCCCTCCTCAAGGAGAACAGCAACAGCTGCCTGAGTTTCAAGGACTTAAACATGTTTGGGCAGAGCTGTGCAAAAATTACTCATTTAGACCAGGACGTGCACAGGGGTTGAGGGAAAACGCTGCTCCCTCCCTGCAGCACTGAGGTGGAACAGCATGTGGGGAGCCAGGCTTGGCTGCCATGAGCCAGCCCCTGGGCATGCAGGAGCCACATTCCAGCCCTGTGCCCACACCCAGATGCCAGTCCTCCTTCCTGCTCTCCTCCCAGGGGATGCCACACCGGGCAGAGGATGCAGCATCTGGCACCGGCTGAGGAACATCACATCCACATCGGGCCCTTGCCCAGGACACCCAGACAGCCCCAGTGCTGGTAATCCAGCCCTTCAGGACAAAGCCTCCCACCAACTCGTTCCAGGACCAGCTGCTGCTGACAGACAAAGGGTTTCCAGCCTTGCTGGACCCAATAAACAGCTGTTCTTCCCTGCTCCGGGCCATCAATCGCAGCTGACAGCCTTCCCCCCATGGTCGACACTGTGCTTTTCACCTTAATTTCTTAGAAGGGCTTTTTCACCAGTTGGAAACTCATAAATACCACTTTGCAAGCCCAGGTAGGGCTAATGATGGATGGCTGCTCCACAGATATGCCAGAGGCTGTGACCTAATTGTCACCGAAATACTTCCTGATTAACTAATAGATAAAACCCAATTAAAACTTCTGCTCTTCCCAAAGTCCCTGACGCCTACTATTTTTCCCCTCCTCAAACTCTGTCTTAAATTAGATCCAGCCTGGCTCAACTGCTCTGAGCAGATGAGGACACTCTGCCCACCATCCTACCTGCAGTCATGGGCACTTTTGTGCTGTTTGAGCCCCTGGGGAGGTCCCAGTGGACCCAAAGAGGATTTTGCAGCCAGCCCATAGGTATAAAATCCCTCTGTAAAAGAGAGGAGAATGACAGCAGGGAGGGCATGCTCTATTCCCCCTATTTTTCTTTCTCCTCTTCCGCTGAAAAGAACTGCTGCACAGAAAAGCTGCTTTAGCACATTTGCTTTGATGTGCAACAAGTTAATTACTGTAATAGGTTCATCCTTCTCCCCCAGTATTGAATCATGTAGAACATCCATATAAATTGTCATGGAGTTCCTCATTTTGACTCCATTTGTTCTTTAAGCAGCCCTAGCAAGAGTAGTCCTGAAGAAGGATTTGTTCCAAATCCCAGGTACCAAATGTATCCATTACTATTTGTTCTCCTGATACTCATATCAGTCCACTTTTGGAGGGAGGGTGCTCATGGATGCCTCATCCTGAAACTGCTGGGCTAGGGAGCAATTCCAGAGAGCACAAGGCTCTGAAGCTCAACTGTCATTAAGAAAAACCAAAACCTCACACAGAAAAAGACTGAAGGCATGAAGACGAGTCAGTGAGTGCTGCAGGGGACCTGAGGAAGAGCCTCCCTGGGAGGAGGATGCTTGGTCTGGTTCAGCAGCTGGAGCAGAGCTGCATCCCCTCATCCGGGCAGCTCCTTGCTCACCTGCTACTGCCCCACACCCTCTGACCCCAGCCTGCGACCCCCAGCACCCTCCCAGTGCGGAGCGGGGACCCCTCTGGCACACTGCTGATGGCAGGACACTAAACTCCCACATTTTCTCCAATTTCCTGCCCTGGATCCAGCTCCACAGGCAGGATCAGCTTGACCGGTCTCATCACAGCGGTGCACCCTCGGCAGCACCGCTCCAGCAGCGGCGCCTCAGCGGGAAATGGGAAGGAAAATGCCGGAGCAGGGAAGGTCTGCAGCTGGCAGGTGGGAGCTGCACATCAGCTCCGAGCGAGCTGGCGCCGTGGCCCCAGCGACCTTCCCGCCAGCGCCACAGGAGCCG